GCACAGCAACACCTTGAACGGGTCTAAAGGATAGTAGCGTTAAGGCCGTGAAGGAATGTGCCGTGAGGGCGTGTGTCATTATTGCGAAAAGTGGGTCCGACGTCTTGTTCTTAGCTGTAGATATCGGGGAAGAAGTGAAGGGTCTTCCTGATAGGAGCAATCATTTGATCATAGGGATAAGGAGCGGTTAGGAACGTTGTACGTATCCTTCGACTCGAATTGTCAGACTATTGGTATCGATGAAGCGTTCCAGGGCTCGGTTTGGTGATGCTTTCGTCATTGCATCTGCTGGGTTGTCTGCGCCGTTGATCCAACGAATATCTGTTATCTCTCTCTCTCGTATGACTGGCGAAGGGCCATGATATCAATCATCAATCGTTTTTCCTTCGTCGTACCGAGCTTGACTAGGCATTCGTAGAGAGTACGAATCCGTACAGACGATGAGAGGGATAGGAGGAAGGTTGAGTCGTTCCGTAATTATCTTCATAGTCATCGCAAGGAGATGCCTATGTCGAATCCGTTGGCCATACCGTAGATCTCTGATGCTAGGACGCTACGGGTAACACGTTTGCACTTTGTTGAACTCCAGTGTACGATGTTACCACTAATCTCGAACTGTTTTTCTTGTGGTTTGTCTCGTTAACGAGGGTAATGACGAATCCTAGTTGGGAGGATAAGTCCTTGTTGTTTGCGAAAGAACCATCGGTGAAAACCATCAGCTTTGCAGTAGCTAGATCAATTGGTTTGTACGTGAGGCCACGTAGTTGGTGATCCATTTGCCATTGCAGTCGCTTGTTCAAAATTGCGTAATCTTTATCCTCAGGGTCTGTACTTGGGCGGCGACTGAAACATCGAAAGAAGCTTCCGGTTGAGCAATTGAAGCAATGTATGAGGCTCGCGCTCGTTCCTCAACGTAGCGCTGGTGACGATCAATTGCTTTAGGGTCAATGGTGGTCATTTTTGCTGCTTGTCCCTTCTGTTGAAGTAAAAGGATCCTTTCTTAAGGGGTTATTATTCAGCAACGTCAGTCTTGCACCATTAAAGTCAACCGTTGTTCCGTATGTGATGTCAGTCTTGGGCTTGGAACGAAATTCTGCCTTTGTAGCTCTTCTTCTTCACGGGTAGAAAAGTTGTTCGTTCCAAGGATGAGGGTGTCATCAGTTTGCATTCCAACAATACCGAGCGTGTCAGGGCCAGTATTCGAAATCAGTAGGCAGGAGTCATAGGTGGAGGTAGACATATCCAGCTTTTCGAGGTGATGCTGCTGATATGTGCGGAACCAATGGACTCCGGCTTCTGCGATACCGTACAGGGCTTAATAACACGAATAATTGTTCCGTTAGGTATTTGCCTTGTAGTTCCGTGGGCAAATACGTAAGAATGGTCCGGGAAAGCTTGGTCTGGGATTGCGGGTATGCCTGAGTGATATCACGGAGGGAGAGGGTTATGCCGTAGTTTTGAAGAAGTCCGGGGGCAATAGCGAGGATGAGTCTCTGGCTAACGCGTTGAATTGTCGGAGATTGCGTCAGGAGGGTGGTCTTCTCAAAGTCGTTATGTCCTTGAATAACAAGTCGAGACTTTTCGTAGGGCTTAGTGTTGATTCCTTTGACTTCACGAACCATTCGAGAGCGAAAGATTCTATAGTTTCCATGACTCATTTGATCGTATCGTTCAAATTGGAATACACCGCGGCCAACGAGGTCAGTAATCTCTTTGTTATCGGATTCTTCGAAGGGTCACCAGGAGAGGTGATTATGCCATCAGACCGTAGCTTGAGGGAAAGAGCTTGCATCTTCCTCCTTTGGGTCAAGAAGCTCTGGTCTACGGCTTGGGCCATCATGATCAAATCCTTTGGCTTGTTCTTTGATCCTGGTGGGCGTCCTCTGCGGGGCGGGGTTCGGGTCGGGCAGGCAGGTCCGTTAGGGTCTTAACGGGGTCTTGAGCCGGTTGTTCATTAAGATCTGAACGAATGCCTGAGGGTCTGTGTCGTGTGTAGGGTCGGAAAGAGTGGTATCATCACGCAGATACGGTTGTACAAGGGTCGATCGAAAGACTTGGGGCCGTTGACTGTGTCAATGGTGATGTTATGGCTATCAATCGATGCAATCTTGAAGGGTCCTTGCCAACCGTCTTTCTCTCCAAACGCGAACTTCACTTTGCAGCGGGAGGATAGCACTTCTGTCGTGCTCGGGCCGTTGCGTGCATGGAGGGCATCCTTAACTCGTCTTTCTGCCGAGAGTTGGCGGAGCATTTTCATCGCTTTCTGCATAGCTTCCGATCTTTTGAGGGTGGAAGCGGAAGGGGCGAGTCTGTAGATACGCGAGGGTATGCGCCGAAAACAAGCAACGTAGGCACAAGACCGTCAGGTCCTGCCGTATCATTGATTGCTTTAACAGCCATTTGAAGGACTGTTTCGGCGGAAGTGGTGTGGCCAATCTCAGCATGGAGGATGTTAAAGGCGCGTCGGAGGGTGCGTGATAGCGTTCAATCTTTCCAATGGACCAATGCGTCTCAACAGGTACTTGAGAGCATTTGATCCCATAATCTTTGCTTCGTTCCGGAATTCGAGAGAAGCAAAGTTAGTTCCTGCATCGTGACGGAGGGTATCAGGAGGTCCAAGATACGTGTCGATCCAGAGGGTCCGGAGGGTCTCCCATGTATCTTTAGCTGACATTGACGGTAAAAATCTGGCTCCTTGGAAAGCAGTAGCTGAGTCCACAACGTGTAGAACAGGGCGTTGTGGTGTTCCTAGGTGCATCACATCAACGATGATTTCGTAGTTGAATTCTTGATCATCGTTAAGGGTGAACTTGAAGCGGCGTGGGGCTTGTGAGTGCATTTGACAGTGGTGACAGAACTTAGAGATAGTCTCTAATGTGTCTATCGAGACGTCACTGTGCCCGGCTTGCTTCAAGAGGTGATGGAGCCTAGGGACTGCTGGGTGTCCAAAGCGTCGGTGAAGTGTACGAATCTCTGTTTCCGTAAGAAACGAGATAGACTCTTCATCTTTCGTAAGGAAGAACCAGGGATGTCCCCATTTGCGGATGACTGGGATGCTGGTAGGGCGATTAGTACAATGATTACTACAATTGATGGTATCTGTGATGTTATTGAAATAGATACCAAGTCGATCCATATCAGCAAGGCAGAGCAAAAAGGGAGTTGGGGTTTGAAGGATGTGGAACGTGATCCTTCCGAGGGGTGTTTTTAGGGCAACTGTGCCAAGGGAGTTAATCGTGTCGCCGTTGCCAAATTTGATGGAGGCCTGGCCGGATGTAGAGCTGTCGAGAGCTACAGAAGGATCTTCTCGTTGTAGGGCGATGTACTGAGAATATCCTGCTGTGGAGAATGTTGCTGCACCTGTGTCGATCATGATACCTTGGAATCTATCCCTTGAATAGCGATCTTCAATAATAAATTGCGAGGCTGGAACAACGGTTTGATCCGTCTGATAGACGTCTTCTCCTGTGATCAAATGATTGAATGCCTGTTGACAGAGCATTTGGCTTGCTTGCCATTGTTCCGGGTGATCGTTGGTGCTATTGTCATGTTCTTCCCATGTATCTTCAGTGTCATCAAAGCTGCTCATCTCATGACCTTCGTAGTCTAGAATATAGCCTCCGATGTCCGTGAGTTGTACACCTATGAAGTGACATTGAGTGATATGTTGGTCCTTGGCCTTTGCCGTTCATCCGTAGAGTGTTTAGTTGACCAACAGCCTTCTTGTCCACAAACAAAACACTTCTTCGTCCAGTTTCGGTTACTGTAGCTATGATTGTAGTTACTACGGCTTTGAGGCCGGTAGTTTCCACGGTTGTAGCTTTGTCTGTATCCGCGGCTGGGTCGTTGACCTGAATATCCGTATCTACCTCGAGAGCGGTTGTTATTGTATCGACGGTCGAGGTAGTACTGATGGTGTGGATCGTTATGATCAAATGATCCAGCAAAGTCAAGGGAAATTGAGAAGTTGTTATGAGGGCAAGATGGGTTTCAACGGATGCACGAAGATCTGCAAGAAGGTGCTCGACGTTATCGGCGGGTTTGAAAAGAGCGTATTGGAGTTCGGGTACTCCACGGCATGCTTTCATAAGCGTTGTACGCAGTTGGAGGTCTCCTGCGTACTCCCTGCCAAGGGCTCGTTGGCAGAGCTGAAGCTTATCAAAGAGGATTTGAAGCACTTCGTGGGGTCTTCGAAGCATCTTGGGCACGGATGGAGTTAAAGGTTATTGTTGTCCAGTCAGTATGGTAGTGGACATGGTTGACTTCCGTGTCAAAGTGTTGTTTGAAGATATCATACGCTTGTCGGAACGTCGTAGCCCATGTGATCTTATCAAGATAGAATCTTTGGGCTCTTCCATCAAGGATCCGGGGAAAGAGTGCGTGAAATTGTGACGGTTTCACTTGGATATGAGAGCAGTTGCTTAAGAAGAGGCGGAGCTTATCATCAAGGAGATCGTACGGCTCTCCTGTGTAGTTCCGATCTTTGTTCCAGGTCTTCATAAACTTGCTGGATGTCGCTATCGACGATAGCGTTCGGGATGTTATCCGGGGAGTTTCATGTATTCTCCAAAGGTTGCAGGGCCGGATAAGTGTTCGGGGATGGAGTTGGTGACGGGTTGGACGAGATCGGGGTTCTGGAAGCGGTAGGAAGTCGGATGAATAGTAAGAGAGGTCGGAGCAGGTTTATCTTGGATAGTCGGAGCAGGAGTAGGTGCGTTAGGAGGGCTCGTTAGGGTCTTAATAGGTTGTGGTTCGTTAAGACCTTGATGAGGTGCTGCTAAGGGCGTAACTGATGGTGAAGGAGGTTGAGACGGATGGGGATTAGTGGAAGCATTTGATCCTAGTAATGCTGTCTGCCTCCTGAAGGCAGCAGTCCTCTCATCAAACACCATCTCCGTAAACTCCTGCTCTGGCCAGGTTTGTGGGTTCTCGATAGTTTGTAATATGAGAAATTGTGTTGCGAATTTCCCCTTTGTGAACCTGTGTAGATACCTCTTTCCTTAGTAGTTTCCTGAGGGCTCTCTTGTATTCATTCGGGCGCGGTCCCATGTGTCTTCGGTCCATTCTTCAAAATGCTGTTGGAAGTAACCAAGGAGGTCGTATCCTTGATCACTGCCAGATTGAACGATGAATATGAACTTTGCCACATATGTCGTTACTGCGATCTTGTCCTTTTCGTCGTGTGTGATATCGTTGTCCCAAAGGTCGATATTAATTTGTCGGAATGCGGATGCTTGGATGTCTAGTGCCTGCATCTGGTCGCATATTTCTTCGAGCTGGGCTTCTGGGGACATAGCTCGGGCGGTCGGGGCTATCGTGATCAAATGAATGAGACGATGTGGGGTTCGTATTGGTCTCTTCGTATACGAGTTGTCGCTAATAGGAGGTCGAGCGTCGCGTACTAAGTAGGTCGTTCGCGGCCAGACTGAACTGACGGGGATCTTGCTACTTAACGTCAAGGGTCGAACGTTCTTACTAGTTGTTTGCGATGTGGTCGCCTGTCGATTCCGGTGCTCACGGCTAGGCAAACTAGCGGGCGATCGTAATCAACAGTTGGAAGGACTCTCGCGCGGCTGGGCAAACCAGCGGGAGATTCCTTGTTCTTAGCACAAATAACCTTCTTCTGAGCGCTACCAGGGCCACAGTAAAGTGACGCGGACTATAGCACCTTCGAAGGTTGAGGAATTTGTCTCTTCTACTTAGCTGTCTGTGACGGGCGTGGGCCGGTCACTGATCAGTGTGGGTAGGCACCTGCGGCAGCTGCTGCAATGAGACGGTACTAGGGTTAACCTGTGATGTTGTATTCGTCTTGATTCTCTATCTAAGGAGGCAGAGGCCAGCGTGGAGAAAGGGGGCACGCTGCCCTCAGCCGCACACGTGACCGTACGGGTCACGTGCCAACCATGGTTGGTCACACCACTAGATAGATACATTCCTACATATAAGCTTATTACCCTTTAATATAAAGTATAGTTACTTAGGAATAAAGGAGGTAAGAGATAAGTTAAGGACCTTAGAAAAGTAGTTAAACTAAAATAGCTAGGACTATTTAATAGTACTTATAATATACTTTAAGACTTTCTTACTTAACTTAAGGCTTATTATTAGTTTTACCTTATTAAACTCTTAGACTATAAGAAATAGTGTTTTCCTATTATAAATAAAGTAGCTATACTATACTCTCCTAATTATATAAGCTAATAAGTAGTATATTAATTATAGATAAAATCCTATCTTATAGAATAAGAATCGCTCGTTATTTTATATATTATTATATATAAAATAGGTTACCGGTTATTATATAATTAGGAATCGAAGGAATAGAGCTAGCTTAGAATACTAGCTAAGACCTCTTAGGACCTATTAAGAATACTAGCACGACTAACCTCCTTTAAATATAAATATTAGTAGAACTAAGATACTTCTAGAAACACTTAAGGTATTATAGAATTCCTTAGTCTTAGGGCTATATAGTAGCTTAAATCTAGTCCCGAAAGGTTCTTCCGTTTAGCTATAATTATCTATATAAGATAGTATATCCGCTAGTAAATAGAAATAGAATTATTAACTTCAATACCTCTTCTTCTTATAAAGAGAGATATAAGAAGTATATAAAAATATACGAAGGTAAAATTAAAAGTAAGGGGTCGGATAGGTAGGGTAGAGAGATTTAATTCTTATAGGGGTAATAATTACGGTAAGGGATTAATTATTATATTACCTTAATTATCCTTCTTTCCTTTATCTAACGCCCCTCTTTATACCTAGCTAGTATCTTAATTAATAAAGAAGATCCTACTTAAAGAAGCTACTAATATCCTTTTAACTACCGAGCTTTTTACTAGGGTTTCCCTTCTTTTCTAGCCGTTGCCGGTATATCCGTCTTATCTTTCGCTACCTCTATAGGAAGCTATCGCTACTTTTACTTCCCCTCTTACCCTTACCCTCCTCTCTATACCTCCTTTTAGCTCCTTCCTTAAAACCTGTTTTTTAGCTTCCTAGGTCCCTCGTGCTAAGGGATATCTCCGAGAACTACGAAATTAAGCTACGCTTTACGATACTTCTATATACTAATATACTACTAATAAATTCTATTAAAAATCCTACTTTATACTCCTTCTTCCCCTTTATTACTTAGTCTTATATAATTCCTTAATTTCTTAAAATTCCGCTTTTACTTATATACCTTAAGAGGTTATAAGCCCGGCATACTCCTTTTAAGCCGGGAAATTAACTTATACCTTTAAAATTCCTTATCGAAATACCCGATTAAAATTCCTTTCGAAATTCCCCCTAACTTCTTTTACCTTCCTACGCTCTTAAACCCCTATCTAGACTTCTTAATCCCTACGAAAGAAATAATACCGAATTTATATAAAATAGGTAGATAGAAAGAATATAAATTTACTAAACGTAAGGGAAATTTAAATTATACCTTATAGACTATAAGGATAGAAGCTATCCTTATAAAAGAAAAGCATATTACTACTTTAGAGTAGGTAAATTATATATAAACTATAGAGGCTTTATTTATAATATTCCTTTAAGTTAAAGATAGTCCCTTAATATAAATTCGGCATCTAAAAAATACTAAAGAAGCGTAGGATAAGCTTAAAAAGCTATATAATCCGTCGAACATTTCGTTGAATTATCTACTTATTAAGCAGCTCTTTAATCTTAGTCCCTCGGACTCTAATTTAGAGAAATACCTTTATAAGGTAAAGGAAATTTATAAGGATTTAAAATCCTATGATATAGAAATTCCGGAAGTTATTCTTATAGTATAGATTCTTAATTGCCTTAATAAGGAATTTAGAAGCTATATTATAAATATTACGTAGAGCCTTAGATATAATTCTATAGCGTTTACCCTCGAAACCCTAATAGCTAGTCTTTTAGACGAATTAAGAAGAATAAAGGATATAAACGAATCTTCGGAGAAAGCCTCCTTAATACGAAGGAAGCCTTAGAAATCCTATAGAAATTCTATAGATACTCCTTATTATAAGGAATATAAAAAACTAAGACATTCTATAGTAAATTACTATAAATTATACCTAAATAAGGCTCCTACTTATTAGGTTTTAAATAAAGGGAAAAAGGATAATAGGACTTAAATTTCTAAGAAGAGAAAATCTTCTTCTTCTTCTTCTTCTTCTTTTAAGAAGAAATCCCCTTTTAGTAGTATTTCTACTACTAATAAAAGAAGGAAGGATCGAATTATAGAGCTAGAGTCTAATTCGGACGATAGTAATAAGGTCTTAAATATAGCTTCGTAAGAAAATATAGACCTAGATATTAACCTTATAGACCTCTCTAGGGCTCCGACCCCTATATAAACGTCTAAGGATTTAGAGGTAATTTTAACCTTTATAAATACCCTTATAGTAGAAGCTAATAAAAACTCTCTTTTAGGACCTCTAAAAGCCTTAATTCCTAGAATAAAGGAATTAGTTTTAAAGGTAAGAGAAGGAGGATTTCTTAGTTATAAGAATAAAAGGATCTTAAATTTTATTTATAATACCGGAGCTACTAGGTATATAGTATTAAATAAAAATTTCCTTATTAACTATAAAGAAATTAAGTCTAAGGTTTACTAGGGAAAAGCTTCCTTTATATTAGTAAGAGGAAAGGGGGACTTAGTATTTAAGTTCCTATATAGTAGTAAAAGGTATATCCTTTAAGACTGCTTTTATATACCTAAATTAAGGGTAAATATACTATCCTAATCTTATTTTAATAATGCCTATGCCTTAATAGGAGGAAATAAAGTCCTTTTATTAAATAATAAGGCTAAGGTCCTTACTAAAGGATTTCTTAGATATAAATTATATTATATTCCTATAAAACCTTTATTAAAAAGCTAATTAATCCTTATTACGTCTTTAAAGGCAAAGGATATAGATTTTTATTCTTAGTACTTATACTTAGGGTATATAAATAGTAGGGCTATTTTAAAAATATTAAAAAGATATAATAAGGATATAAAAATACTTTTAAAAGAGGAAAATAAAATAAGATAATACGAAATATATATTAAAGCTAAAGCAATAAATAAGGTTAATAAATAACCTTCGTATAAGTCTTATACCTATTTAGAAAAAATTAGATTAGATATTTAGGGGCTAATTAAAGTACTTACTTATAGTAAATATTACTATTATATTTCTTTCCTAGATATAGGAACCTAATATCTAGAAATATACCTTCTTTAAAAAAAGGGGGAAGCTCTAAATAGGTTCCTAGAATTTAAAATTAAGGTAGAAAATAACCCTAAAAATACTAGGATTAAAGGAGCATTTTCTAATAATACTAAAGAATTTATATATAAAATAAAGCTCTACTATAAAAAAGAAGGAATTACCTTTAATTCTAGTCCTCCTAGGACGCCGGAATCTAACGGTAGAATAGAAAGAATAAATCGTACTATATTAGAAAAAGTACGAGCTCTTTTATTTACTACTAGGCTTCCTAAATATCTATAGGGAGAAGCTGTTTTAATAGCTACCTATTTATAAAATAGATTACCGTATTCTACGATAGGATTTAAAAGTCCTATAAAAAAGAAGGATAATATAATACTACCCTTCGAGACCTTAAATAAAATTAAGACCTTTAGAAGCCTTATATATTATAAGAATAAAGACCCTAAAGATTTCGTACGGAATGTCTCCGCACACGCCTAAAAATCTAGATAGGATCCTCAGGCCATTTATTACCTCAGCGAGCTCAGACAATTAACTAAGAGGAGTCTAGCTATGTTAAGACTAGCACTTTAGGTCACGTTACTTTTATAACTCCTCGAGACCGTACCGATTAGGTATAGCCTGGTTCGATGCCTGAGGCATACCATGCCCCACCCCCCTTTCGGTAACACCCACCTTTCGGTAGCGCAATTGAAAAATTCTCCACCAAAAGTCTACCATTTGAACTACATGAAATATGATCAGAACTTAACATTATAAACACAAAAAATATATCATTCCGTAGAGAAATGGACGCTCTTATATGTACCGGCGCTTTTTTACCATTCGCCCGGATCTGGTGGTGACTGGAAGGGCTTCGGGTGCCACCTTGACTTCAATCACTGAAGCTGTCTCCACCTCTGAGACCGCCTCCTCCTCTGTGTCAGAATTCAGCACAACGGCTATCTCTTGGCTTTTAATTTGGGGAATGGCTTCCTCAGCCACCAAAGCTTCACTGAGAGTCATGAACCGTCTGTTCGGGTTCGGAATTGCTCTCCTCTTCTTGCCTCTCTGCAGCCGGGCCACTTCTTCCTCTAGCTTCGCGATTCTGTTGCTGTGCTCGGCAAGCGTCTGTTCTTGGGCTTCAAAGCCTCTAGCTATCACGGCGTATCGTCTCCGGGTGCCAGGAGTCTTGTTCTTTCCGAAATCGCGAATCTGGCGGCTGTTTCTTGGCGTATCATCAGAACCCAAAAATGGCGCGGACTTTGGAGACGTCTCTACAATGTCCGCGTGAATTTCTGGATGCCGCAATGCCTTGGATCGTGAGATCGGCCAATTCCCAGTGACCCTCCAGCCGGACAATATATTCTTTGCCGTCATTCCAACCTCGCGCGCTTTAGCATATGCCCGTATAAAATTGACCTTATGAACAGGCGCAGAATCGGTCAAACAGGTCAATTTCTGAAGTTCTTTCCGGTAAGCTGCCTTGGAGGCATTGAATACACCGTTATCTAACGGCTGGAGGCCATGAGAGCAGGGCAGGAAGGTAACAGCAATAAACGTTGTTCAAAAAGCATGTGGCCATCCATGCATCCTGGTCTCGGTTAACAGTAATTCCTACAGAGGTGGATAAAGAAACGCACCGTTGCATGACTTCCATGTCCATCTAATATGATCAGTCTAGCATCTGAGGCATCGGCTGGTCGCGTCTGGGGCAAATAGACCCTCTCAAGCCACTCAATAGCGATATGGTTGTCCGTCCATCCGTTGGGCGACGTTATGTAATGCCAGTCGGCTATTTTGCCGAATTCCGTCAAGAACCACTGTTTCTGAAGCTCTTTGCCCTTAAAGATAATGCCAGGGTAAGGACACGGCCGTCCGCGGTGATAGCTTCAATAAATGAGGTCCAGTTGCGGGACTGTGGCCCTTTCAGAAGGGCCTTCCGTTTTGGGTCTGCACTCCCAACCACAAGACTATCCAAACCTGGCAAAAGGAGTCTGGTTAGTAAAAGTAATGAAAGACAAGCCAAATACTCACCAAAGCCAGACATAATACCGCCTTCGTCAACATTCACGGTATTTTCTGGTTTAATCCATCCATACTCCTTTTCCTGATATCGAAGAACCAGTGAACCGCCCGAGGCGTAAAAGCATTAAATCGGTTAGCTTCCTGACGTCTCCCACGCTTGTTCTTGATGTCCGGATGGCGATTGATGAATTTAGAGACCCAGTTGCGCCCCACTGTCCGCTCGTTGTTCAGTTGCTTTATAAGAGCCTCCACACATGCGCGGATCTGACTGTGGGAGGAGCATAGCCGAGAGACTCTTGGCGGAGGATCCAAGAAACCAAGCGAGCTTCCTGAGACTTACTCAAGAGTTGACGAGGCTGGATCTGATCAGCCAGGGCTACCTGGCCTTTGAGTCTGTCGGAAATAGACTGCTGAGGTATGTCATACTTTTGGGCGGCGCGGTACTGCGACAAGCCGTTTTGTGACATCAATTATCGCATTAGCCATAATATCCTCCGTATAAATACTCCGAGGCCGCTTTAAGGTCATTTTGGTCATGTGGTGGAGGAATAACGAGAAGAATCATCGTCAGGAGGCGGAAGGAGATTAGGGGTTGGATGGTAATTTCGCGTGCAAGGTACGCACAGGCCGCAGACCCTGTACAAACATTCAACCATCGAAAAGTAGAATTCAATCAATCCACTATCTACTCCAAGTGACGGCTTGTGAATATCTTCAAAGCTGGCTGGAATCCGTGTAAGTGAAATTGATGGTTTTTGGTGGGGATATTTTCTAATGCGCTACCGAAAGGTGGGTGTTACCGAAAGGGGGGTGGGGCATGGTAATACTAATAGCCTGAGCTTGCTAAGGTAAGCCATTTACTCGAGGAGTGCATGTGACTTACCGATTAGGTATAGTGCGCTTTGTCGCCTTCGCACGACCACTAAATGGCCTGAGCGCTGCTGAGGTAAAGTTATTATACGGGCCTAAGCCTCGTGTCGTCCTAACAACCTGCCAGGCAACAGCCACTGCGTAGGCAAGCAACAGCCTTTTATTTATGTATAAAGAGCTGCATAATTCTATGCAATCGTTCGCCCGCTTCTTGTTCTTTAGATAATTCTCACTAACTTCACCAATACCATTCAGATTGCTTTGCCCAACTGCCGTCGTCGTGCCAGGTGTGGTATATAACTGTCTAACACTGTTGCTAGCTAGTAGCTTCTGTGCCTGTTTACGGAAGCTGGGACAAAGTCCTACATTAGCATGCCGCAGGTTGTCATTGTTATTAGTAGAAGAATCCTTGGCACTTACGATCTAGAGCGACCTTTGTTAGCGCACCGTTTTATCGTTCTGGTTACGGAGGTCACGAGCCCACTTACCTCAAGGTAATACGGCGGCGGTGGCGGCGGTACTTCCGGGTGCGGTAGCGGCCCCGGGGGCGGTCGCGACGGTGGGCCAGCATTGACAACAGGCCCTACTCCACCCCCAAACGTGCCCGTAACCGGGTTGACCGACGGTAAAGGCTGCACGTGCGGAACAACGAGTTTTGTCATTAGCAGGTTTCTTCTTCCATTTTGGTGGCGGTTCAGAATACTCGGGGGCCGCTTACCGCGAGCTTGGCCAGAATGATTTCAGAGCAAGATGGGCCCTTGCTTTCGAGCACGCGCGCGCGCACTCCCCGCCTGCACTGGCTTTTGAGGTTCTTGCCGATGCCCTTAATCAATGCCGTGCCCGGAAACAGGTCTGTGAGCCCGTCCGCGATTCCCCCGGCATCCCCGCGCCCGATTTTCTCCGCAGCGTCCGTGTAGTACTTGCCGACGTCTTTCCCTGCCTGCTCGACCCACTTGAAGCTGTCTTTGACGGCCTTGTCAAGCCAGCCGAAGACGTCTCGTCGGGAGACATGCTCGCTGCCTTGAGATTCGTCGACGGGGTTAGTGAAAGCCTGCATTTCCGGGAACAGCTTTTTAATCCCTTCCACAATCTGCTTAGGATCTCCGCTCCCAATTTCCTTCTTGACCTCTTGGAAAAAGGTCTCGTTAGAGCCTCCCTGAGTTTTGTTGACCCAACCAGCAACAACGCTCCCAACCACTAATGCAGGATCGGGGTCGTCTAGTTCCACAGCCTGTTCGTCTGCCATTGGGCTAGGCAACGGACTGGCCGTAGCAAGTCCGAGCAGGACAGGGAGGAAGGTTGCCGAGAATCTCATTTCTGTAACATCTGTGATTGAACACCAACGAGGGTAGAAACTTTAAGTGCTGTAGTAGTTTGCAAAGCCGTATTGAAGATATTCGCTCTGGTGCTGTACGGGCTCTTTAAATAGGCATTCTGGCTGGTCACCAGCATTTGTCCGGTTGCTACGGTTTTCTGCATCACAGTATCTGCCTTCTACGTATCCAGAACCTCGAATGCGCAGCGCACAGCCTTCCATGATGAACGCTAAGCGATTTATGCAGTGTATGCGAGTCAGGCACCGCAGTAGAATCTCGTATTAGAGTTTATGGCCCCATTCGATCAATATATTTCCCTAGCAATAAAGACGTTGCTCGACAAGTTACGACTCATTGAAGACAAGGGCTCGCTGCGAGTAATGAAGTGTCGGATAAAAAATCTCGATTGCTGAGGCATTAACCAGGCTTTCTAACCATACGCATATGCTTTAATTTAAGCATATATTGCGCATATATTGTCAGTAAACCTACACCATACGGTATTAGCGTTTGACCATATGGGGAAAGTTTCTCCGAAGTTACATTTTTCATGAAAAGAGAGATATTCCGCAGGTGCGCATCACGACGTACCCAATAAAAAGAAGCACAGCTTTTGCAAGCACAACCCTGCTTGGATTTTCTACTTCGTAGGCTCGTTAGTCAAGGCCTATGTTTATCGCCATGATAGGTAAGTATGGATCAGCCACACCACATATACTCCGGTCGAGCTAGCCGTAATTATTCACAAAGAGCGGATAGGGAGAGACTGTCAAGAGCTGAACGCTCGTTCAAGGTGCTGCCTACTGCCTGGCAGGCAGACGCGACTAGGCGGGCTGCTGCCTGCAGGCAGCAGCGCCACTCACTCTCACAACTGATGTATTTCAGGACGAATAATTCCCACTTATTAGATAGATGACAAGAGTCTTCCAGTCCCTGATCTATGTGCCAGCTTTGCTCATCCTCCGTGAGATAGAGACGAGCGTTAATTTAGATCCCTCCCCCCCACACCACACAGGGGGGGCTCGCGACCTTACCTCTTTTTTTTCTTTAAACTTTGTCCGATTAGTCTTTCCTTAGCTGTAAGCTACTACTACATAGTCGATCACATTTAGTAGGTGAAGGAGAATTTAAGTCCGCACATTAATACAGTCTCTAGACTCTCTATAACTATTCTTAATAGCGGAATCTGGCTTTACCTGTTTATAATTATACTATTAGCAACACTGGCTGCTATTATAAGTAGTTAGTCTTGGCTCCTTTTAGAGGCGTGTATGTCCTTGTCTAGGGAATCTAGGGATACTGGCTGAGTTGCTCCTGGCTGCTCTGCTAGCACCAGCCACGGTAGCAGACAGGGTTGGAATTAGAACGCCGTCCTAACGGAGAAGGCAGAGAAGTTAGGCGCTACCACCGAAGCGGGCGAATAGCCGGCTGCTGAGTTGAAAGTCTACCGCGCTATGGGAGGCGGTGTGGTGAAGGCAGGGAATCCTGCCAGGGGGTTCCTGGTATCTTAAATCTTCTGCAATGCAGTAAAAGAGGTGTGCAGAGAGAAGATGGTGTGCAGAGAGGGTGGTGTACATAAAAGATGGTGTCGAGTGTAGAGAGAATATAACCCTAACACGTCATGACAAAGGATAACCCGTTTGGGTGGCATTGTGGCACATCATGACATGGGCATTGACGAGGGTAGATCCCGGTCCGTCGACATGGCTGTTTACCTCGGCTCGACGGACGGTATCGCGTCTTCTGCCGCTGCCCTTCTCGCAATCCGTTACTTCGGCTTCGAGGGCTCCCATGGGAAATGTATTCCTAGGGGTAAGGATGATTAAAAGGACAATATCGACAAGTGAAGAGAAACATACGGCACTTTCTGTTTATTCTATCTGAAGTGACCATTCATTCCGTATGATAACTCTCTTCGCGAGAGCATGTATCAACCGCTTATGCGTGAGTTGTTACGCTGCTGCTAGAAACATAATCTTTTTTTTCATCGGATCATCGGAAGACAGAAGAAAGGACCTTTCGCCCCTCAGGGCATATCGATTGCCTGGTTGCCTCAAGGAGCCTGCGGCATTTCCACTACGCTCGGAAATAAACCCTTCGTCACCCTCGTCACAATAGGTGCTTCCCGAGCCTTGGACCACGCTAAGACTTGTTCTGGGTCCTTACACTGGTGCCATGTGTTGAAGTCAGGGTAAGGAACAGGGTTGTTTCGGACCCAGTGGAAGGTAATCAAGCCGGTATCTGCATTGCAGCTAATAACCTGCCGAAGAATCTCGACACAATGATCTAATAATTTGCATGCATAAGTATATGACCGAATATTAAGGGAAATAAGTAGAATATTCGGATTGCGTACCGAGATGAGTACGAAGAATATGAGGAAAGGTCCCGTTCGGCAGCGGACGCATGTTCTCATAATAGTCGTGGTGGACAGCCTTACGCAGCATGTTCTATACGCAGGGTAAGTATATAAATTGCATTTGCGGCAGGAACCATTTTCGTACCAAGCAATGCAGTTGGTGGAAAAGCTCCAATGTCGCCATATACCCGCCCCCGTTTACCTTGCCGTATTCTACAGTAGTATTCGGCCAATCTTCGTCTGCCAACTTGCCGGCACGCTTGATATCGTCCTCGTTGACTGCGATTACTGACGCTGTGCCATCAGCCCAACCTTATTAATGATTAGTTTCACTGTGAAAATATGTGAAAGGAATGGGGCCCCTCACGATTAAAAGTAAATCGATCCCATTCTCGGTCAATCTCGGGACTCGGCGGGCCACGATATTGGCCAGAGAACTCGAAAGAACCGTCGAAGCGCGTGCGTGTTTTCTTCAGTGTCGGAAGATCCCTCGCTAGTATACCATAAGCTTTTCGAAAAAAAAAATATAGCCAAAATAATAGGGAAGCCTTCTCTTACACCAAGATATCTCATCCATAGAAGCCCCCGTTCTAGTGAGGTTCACGATGAGACCTACAGCAAAGCCTAGCATGGCTGTGAAGAGTAACAGAGACCAGCTGAGGGCTGTCCTGTGCAGCTGTGTCTTGTGAATGTCACTCCATGGTTCCTCGGCGGAATTGTCGTCGGCTGAAGTAGCTCGTTGCAGCGATGAGTAGTGATGCCTCGTTGATGAAGCCACCATGTTGAAACAGCTTGAAATGGGGCCCGTCTTGATACCAAACCGGTCATGACTTGACTTTGCCGCAACACATAGTTAACTCTCAAGGTCCCGTGAGAGCGCAGTAGAGGACTTGGGGGCTCAGCAGATGAAGGTAGATAAGGCCCATTGTTCAAGACGAGGACTTCTTGGTGGGGGGGGACTTATATAGGTACAAACACCCCGAGGGGGCCGATATAACGAGTCAACTAGTCAACTAGTCATATAAAGGCATTAAAGATGTCCTCGTACATAAGTCATGCATTTTCTACTTCCCCGCTGCCAAGAGAGCCGAGTGACCTGGTCTTGGCTCTGTCCGATAATCCCTACAATTCTAGCTAAGTAATCGTATTAGATAAAGAGAAGGCTCTATTATATGCGGTTTCTAATTCGCGAGCCATTATCTGTACTTCGTACCCTGATGCTCGTATAAAGAGATGCGAAGCAGCGAGGCATAGTTATTGGCAAGTGCCTGACTTGCGTAAACTAGGTACGTAAATCGCCTTTGGTTTGGTTCGGCAGAAGTGCATGACCTCGGTTTTCCCAGGATTAAAGCTTATTCCATTAACGTACCCCACTGCGTCATGCAACGCACTAGGTCAACACCTGACGCGTCTTTAAATTGACGCGATATGGACCACAACACTCGTATTGCAGAGGCAATTATAGAACTGCAATCCTAAGATCGCCCTAAATATGCAGAGACCGCGAGGAAATATAATATCGACAAATCTACGCTATGGCGCCGCTTTAAAGGCAAAACAGCCTTAAATCACGACGCGAACTCTTACTCGCGACAGAAACTTACTAGCGCGTAGGAGGAGATTCTTATTAGGCACGTTAATAAGCTAACCGACCGTAGTATCCCGCCTACCCCTTAGATATTAAAGAATATCGCCGAGGAAATCGCAGGGATAAAGCTTAGTGTTAACTAGGTAAGCCGCTTCCGTAAGAGATACTATAACCGTCTTTCGAGCTTATATTTACGTACTATAGATTATTAGCGGAAGGCTGCTAATAATTCTAGGCATTTCTAAAACTTCTTTAATTTAGTAAGACTGCTTTTTATCGTTATTTTAAGGGGTATACTATCGATAATACTTAGTTAAATACCGTAAAGTTACTATTTCTAACTAAATCTAACTAGCTCCGCGAAAAGATCGAAAAGTATAATATTAGTCCCTTAAATATTTATAATTTTAACGAGAAGGGATTCTAAATTAGTCTCTCTCGCTCCGCTAAGCGAGTTATCCCCTAAGAAGCCCTTAGGCGTAGAAAACTAGTCGGGGCAAGCTAAGACGGGAACTAGGAGTTTATTACGCTAATCGCTGCTATATATATAGATTATTTATACCTACTACCGGCCCTTATTTATAAAGGGGAGTTAAAAGACTCCTAAGATACTTAGCTTAAGGATTTTAACTATTTTAGTAAAGTAGCCTTCTTTACTAGTATAGAAAACGGCTAGAGTTATAATATACTAGGTTTATACTAGCTTTAGCGTATATTTAACTACTATACGAAGTAAAAGGCTAGTCGTGCTTACTATCTCTTAATTTTAGACGGTTATAATAGTTATATTAACCTAAAATTTATTAACTATACCGATCGGAATCGAATTCTTATTACTATATTACTATCGCACTTAACTTATCGGCTTTAACTACTCGATATTAACCTATTTTCCGCACTCTCTACCTATTATACTTAAGGTTCTAAGTAGCTAGTATCTATTAAATAGGGGTTAATTCGCCTTACTAAACGGAACTATTAGCTACTCTTTTATAATATATAGAACTAGGCATTTATAGCTAAAAATATTAAAGCTATTAGCGGGCTATAGAAATCTATCTACTTAACCCTAGCAAAGTATTATTTAAGATTAGCTATAGTAGTAATATGATACCCCTATAAACTATATCTAAGGAAAGGGCGATAAAGACTCTAGGCTCTCTTCGGGCTATTCCGCGTATTACCCGCCGTCTCCGTAAGGAAGGGCTAATAGACTCCCGAGTTATAGCGCTCTCCCGAGTATTAGAGAAACTAGCGATATAATATAAGCTCGTATAATACGAAAATCGAGATCTATAGGAAGCGCTTAAACTTATATATAAGAAAGGGAAACGTAGAACAGGATTATGTCTCGATTGATCGGCGACCAGTGCCATCCTAGGGGAACTTGGACACTGGGAGGCTCCGAGACCATCCCTCCTTGCATTTCAGAGCAGATCGTATCCAAGTCGTGCGAGGATATCACCGGCGCCTTGTACGCGAAGAACAACCAAGTCAAAATGAATGCCTATCGGGACTGCCTCTTCGGCACTGGCAGTTCTTATAAGAAGGACCTCTTTGGTTGCTTGGAGTGCAAGGCCTATAACCTTAAATACTAGCGACTTAGTTAAGAAACTATAATCCTTATATAATACTTTAAAAAATATAAATAACGCTAATAGCGTAATTTAAACCTTTCTAAAACCTTACTAAGACCTCTTACTTATATATATACTAATAATACTAATATAGGTACTAATAAGGGATACCTTAATAACCTTAACCTTAGCTCTTCTTTATATAGTAGCTTATAGAGAACGCTTACCTCCCTTTAATAAATAAGAAAGTAAGTAATAAGATAGTTATAATAAGATATCCTTTAACTTTAAAAGCTTTAACTTTAAATTTTATAATCTTATAATTTATAGGTATACTATATTTAAAAGCGTTAGCTATTAAAAGGGATTATTTAATCCTACTACTAGTAATATAAAAGAATTAAGGTAGATATTAATAAGATTACTAATAGACTTAGAAATATACTTACTAAAAGCTAAGATTATTCTCGCGAAGAGAGATGCGAGAAGTGCATAAAAATGCACGAAGGTGAAATTGGAAGTAAGGGGTCGGACAGGCAGGGCAGAGATGTTTGAATCTTGCGGGGGCAGCAATTGCAGTAGGGGAGTGATTGTTGTATTGCCTTGATTGTCCTTCTTTCCTCTATCCAACGCCCCTCTTTATACCCTTCTAGCATCTTAATTAACAAAGAAGATCCTGCTTAAAGAAGCCACTAATGTCCCTTTAACTACCGAGCTGTTTGCCGGTTTTTCCCCTCCTTTCCAGCCGTTGCCGGCACATCCGTCTTATCTCTCGCCACCTCCATAGGAAGCCATCGCCACTTCTGCTTCCCCTCATGCCCCCACCCTCCTTTCTGCACCTCTTTTTAGCTCCTTCTTCCTTCTTCTATACCGGGTGTTTTTTAGCTTCCTTGGTCCCTCGTGCCAAGGGATATCTCCGAGAACTGCGAAATCAGGCCACGCTTCGCGATAATTATCGCGAAGCGTAGCTTAATTTCGTAGTTCTTAAAGATATCCCTTAGTATAAGGGACCTAGGAAGCTAAAAAAAATAGGTTTTAAGGAAGGAGCTAAAAGGAGGTATAAAGAGGAAGGTAGAGGTAAGAGGGGAAGTAAAAGTAGCGATAGCTTCTTATAGAGGTAGCGAAAGATAAGACGGATATACTAGTAACGGCTAGAAAAAAGGGGAAAAACTAGTAAAAGGTTCGGTAGTTAAAAGGATATTAGTAGCTTCTTTAAGTAGGATCTTCTTTCTTAATTAAGATACTAGATAGGTATAAAGAGAGGCGTTAGATAAAGGAAAGAAGGATAATTAAGGCAATATAATAATTACTCTCCTACTATTATTACTACTCCTATAAAAATTAAATCTCTCTGCCCTACTTATCTAACCCCTTACTTTTAATTTTACCTTTATATATTTCTATATACTTCTTATATCTCTCTTTATAAGAGTTATAAGCCTAGGAGGAATAGTATTCCTATACCTTCCGGCTACTATAAAAGGCACCTTTCTTATATCCCTTATAGCTTCCTTTTACCCCTCTTATTAGAAAAGCCGATTTTTACCTAACTTTTCTACCCTTCCCTATAATAATAATAAAAACCGACTCCTTTACTAACCCTATAGTCTATAGGACGATTCTTATAGAGCCCTAAGATTAAGATAAGTAGGTTAAGGAGCTATAGGCTTATATAGATAGAACTATCTATAATTTAGTCTTCTTTAATAAGTAGGACCCTCTCGAGCCCCCTCTTTATCCTAGGGCAACGGAATTTATAAAGGGAGCTTCCCTCTTCTCTAAGCTAACCTCTATATAGTAAAGAGCTTTTTCTACTACCTTAGGTAACTACGAGAGTTACTAAAAGGAGTACCTCTATAAGACGAAGCTACTAACTATTATATATACGGCGATAATAGAATCTATTAGTGCTATAAAGCTAATCTCTCTTTAAGAGGAAAAGACTCCTAGGTAGTAGCTTTTAAAGCTTAAGACCTTAATAGCTCCCTTAAGGGGCTATATAACTAACTATATTAAGAAGACCTATACGGTATACCTATAAGCTTTTTTTACTAGGAACTTACTAGCTTCTTTATAGCTAGCTAAGTAAGAAGAAATCCTTATAAAAGCTAACTAATACTTCCTTATAAAAGCTCTTTCTAGCTAGTAGCTATAGGATATATCTCTACTAATAAAGCCTATTAGTAACGGTTACTTATCTATCTTTTAAGAAGCTAGCTAGGAACTAAATAAAGAGGCTATTAAAGTATAATAGTAAGTAGTCTTATTCCTTTATATAATAACCGGTATTATTCCTAAGGGATAAACCTATTAAGGGGTTTATATTAATAGATATAATAGTACGTAGTCTAAGCAATAATAAGTATATTACGTTAGTAATAAGTTAGAGGTTATAGACTATAGACTATAACTAAGTAATTAGAATTAAAGATTAAATTATAATAAAGATCTATATTAAAAGCTAGAGAGCTATCTATTTAAAGGAGTAAAAGTAGGTAGCTATATATACCTATAAAGACTATCCTTAAATTATAGTCTTAGCCGTAATCCCCTTTATAGCTTACTATAGCTTACTTATAAGCTATACTCCTAAGTAGTAATCTATCTATATAAGGC